GAGAGAAGAGAGAGAGGAAACGTTATGGGTCGTTCAGCACTGAGTGCCAACCTTTGTGCTTGTTAATCAAAACCAATAGTTTTGACAAATCAACATAAGCTCTGTTATGTTAGGAAGTCTTCTGTTAAAATGCTTCATGAACTTCCTTAATTTTGCAGTTGATAAACGACGTGCTGCCACATGACTGGAATACGAACTGACTGCGTTTGAAGTTCATTATCAGAGACAAAAGACGTTCTATCAACAGAAATCCATAACGAACGGTGAACTTATTGTTAAAAGAAACGAATCTGATCTTCGACTACGGACCCCGCTATCCCACGCGAACTGCATACTAACGTCTCCAAATTTCCATATGCTTTAGGCTGCACGAGCCAATAATTTTCGTTGCAGGCTAATTTCCAACTCGCTAATCAGACGCGTTAAAACTGCATCGGCAAATTCTGTTGCAGGTTAGGCTTCGGCACGATGATTTTTTTTCTATATACAAACACACATTCATAACCGACTATTTTAGGACAAACCGGTAAGGGAAAATAACAAAATTCTGTCATACAATAGCCAGCGATCGGTCGGTGGAGTGAAACACCACATAAGACGGACGCTGCAGTTGATTGGCTCTACCAAGATGGTTTCACTCAGATAAAGTTAGAACATATACAGGGTGTCCCAAAAATGTATACACATTTTAAATTACTGTAAACTTGGTGTTTATTATAATTTCATTATTTCGAAAATGTAAAAAATATTTAAAAGTATCATTTTATTGTTTTTTCAGTGCATGTTTTCAAATTGACGTCCATTTTGATCCAGACATTGTTCTAAATACCACTCACCATACTGTACTTTTCGGTCTACAGTAGATCATCGTCTTTAAGAGCATACACTAATCGTAGATATAACTTTTCCAATGACAACTTTGCATAATGCGAGGAAATGCAGTGAAAAACAATAAAAAGATACTTTTAAATATGCTTCCATTTTTGAAATAATAAAATTATGATAAACACCAAGTTTACAATTATCTAAAATGTGTTTACATTTTTGGGACACCCTGTATATGCCCAGAAAGATGAGCAATGGGACCACGAAATCACTCGAGCGTAATCGTATGTCGACCGTCGAGTTCGACTGCACACCAGAACAGGTTGGGCACAGAGACGGTTACTAGTACGTGAATTCGTTTATGAGAATTGTTGAGTTGCGCTTCGACTACTGCCCTCTTCCCCTTCCTATCTAGCGCCGGTGTCAAGAAGACCCGAGACTGGGTCGGATGCATTATATGACATGCATTACATCATCCTCCATGCATGAGCATGGCAGCTCAACACTGTATGAAACCGAAATTAGAATCCCATGACCTAGATCACCCAAGTAGGCAGTTGGCGCTCTAATTGTACAATATGTCATTTGGCTCAGCAAGGCAGACTTTTACCGCTAGGTGGTGCCCTACGCAGATGATAAGTCGATCGTGCTAAATACGCAAAAAATGTCTGCAAAATTTGGTCTCCTTTTAGCTAACTTGATTTTGCTTTTCTGATAAAATTCGACACCATCGGAACTGCCAAAAGGACTAATTGCCCATTACTTTTGGCCCAGGGGCCCTTATTACTTTGCGGGCAACGTATAGCTATTAAAATAAACGCGCGACCGACCACTGTAGAACTTGGAAAGTTCAACTGGAGTGTGCACGCAGAAATGACTGTTTCTCATCAATGCCGTCATTCGTAAACGAAAACGGTTGTGGATAAAAAGCGCACACAGTCTAGACGTGCAACTGTAATGTGGACAGAGAGAATTAAAAGTGTACATATTGGTCACAAATTATGCCAACTTTTTCGCCTTTTGGA